ATAACTGGGTTTGTCCCTTTTTAACCCAGCGCTGGGTTATATTTAACCCAGCATTTTTTAGAGTGTAAGCATAGCCATTTATTTCCATGCAGTCATGCACATAGTCTTTTATTATATGTATTTCACCATTTCAAAAATATCTGAGTTGGGTCAAATTTGCTAGCGTTTATCTAGATTGCAGCTCTGCACTCATTTTCTAAAGTGCTTGAGGTGCTATCTGCACTCTAAAAAATGCTGGGTTAAATACAACCCATTGCTGTCAAAACAACCCAATTGCTGGGTTTGTCCCTATTTTACCCAGCACTGGGTTGTATTTAACCCAGCATTTTTTAGAGTGTGGGATGCTTTTATTGAAGGAGTGCTTTTTGAGCCACTTGTTGCTTGTTTTTTCCGTTTATTTTACTGCCCAACTCATTAATTAAGCACAGTTTATTTTTGTATACAAAACTAAATTCTAACGTGGAAGCATTTCGATTAAAATATTTTTAAGATCACAAGAAACATTCAGAAAGCTTCAGTCAGGTGTGCCAGACTTTGCATTCGCAGTGTGGCAAGTCCAGACAGACCTTCCATTAGACGCACACATGTAAGGAGAGTTCTGGTGTCCTTTATTTGCTTAGTTATAGTTATTAGTTGAGTGCTGTCATCTAAATCTGAAATACTGTCATTTCAATGCAGTTATCTCAATAATCCGTTTTTACAAATAAATGCTCCTGCATTGTAGGCAAACTTAAAATTTTTTTATTTTCCTGACAAACAACATCATAAGGTGAATTAACATCATGTGACAGTGGATTTTTGTAATCAATATTCCATCAAAACAATGTTAGTAGAAGGAAAAGAAGGATTCATACTCTTTTGACTTTATCATAGAGTCAGTGTTAAGAGAAACATGGCTAGCTCAGAAGAATTTGGGGTATGTGGAATGGCTGGAATGATTAAAGATGTTTGTTTATTTTTTTATTTGTGTATTTATTGATTTATTTTTGAAAACTAGGCATCGAGCCTAAAATGCAGACAGATGGTGTAGACATGCCTTTATTATAGGCTGAAACATGTTCACTTTGAGATACTACATGGTTAGCCTTTTATTGTTTAAAAGTTAAGAGTTGGTAAGATTTGGTTTTTGAACTCTCTTGCTCACCAAGGCTGCATTTATTTAATCAAAAATACAATAAAAACAGTAATGTTGTGAAATAGTATTGCAATTTAAAATACCTGTTTTGTATTTTTATATATTTTAATGTGTCATTTATTCCTGTGCTAGCTGAATTTTCAGCATCATTACTCCAGTCTTCAGTGTCACATGATCCTTCAGAAATCATTCTAATACTGCTTAGAAACATTTATTATCATCAATGTTTAAAACAGTTGTGCCACAAAAATTTTTTTTGTGGAAACCATGACACACTTTTTCAGAATTGTTTAATGAATAGAAAGGTCAAAAGAACAGCATTTATTTGAAACAGAGTTCTTTTGTAAAATTATAAATGTATTTACAGTTACTTTTGATTACTTTAATGCATCAACCCTGAATACAAGTATTAGTTTCTTTCAAAAAATATTACTGACCCCAAACCTTTGAACAGTAGTGCATTTCATGGAACATTCAGTAATATTAGCTGATGCTGCGATGATATCATCTGACTTCTGTGGTCGCTGCAGCCCTCTGTGGTCCATTAAGAGTGTGTCTTGTGTAGTCACATGACTTCACAATGTCTGACCTCAGAACAACTGGTTGATTCTATCAGTTAAATGACTCTGCTAGTTCTTGAATGTGAAATGTGGTCATTGTTACAAGACAAGAATCTCTGATCGTAGTGTTTTAACTGGGTTATTATTTGACATATGATTTAAAACATTTGTGTAACATTTTAACAAGTAACAAGTTTAAACATTGCACCATTCAGTACCTCAAATCTAAATAGTTGTTTGTGGGCATAAAACTTGATTCCCTTCTTATGCAGTTTAATAGATGTAGCACTGTGCTTCAGCCACTTTATATCAATGCGTGTGCCATTTCCAAGTCTATTTCTGTGAACCCCATGACTCGCTTGGCCTCTTGCATCCATTCACGCAGCTTCTGCTGACACTGACCTGCAATACGAGACCCAGAGGCCCACGATTCTCTCTCTCCACCTTTCCTTTTCTTTATTATGACTTCAAATGCCACGTTAACATGCATAGACATAATCTACTGCCATCTAGGGATGTAACGGCATGAACATTTCTTATCACGATTATAGTGACCAAAATTATCACGGTTATCAGTATCATCACGGCATTGTTAACATGTGCTGGAGATGTTCAAAAAGTACAGACACATAAATCACTTCACCAAATGCGCTGCTTACTGACACACACACACACACACACACACACACACACACACATACATATATATATATATATCGGAGATCGCGCAGCTCACACATCCAGGAGAAAAGAAAGTTGTCAACGCTGCCCCACGACTTTTATTAATAACAGTTTAAATCCTGAATCGCTACGTTATATTTTCCAGCAACAAGAGGATAAAATCGCTGTGTTTTAAGTAAACTCACTCTAAAAAGAGAAACGCACAGACGCGCATACTATAATTAATTAATTCATATATTCATTTGTATAATTCTTTTAAAACCTCCCAGCTTTTCCGCCCTGTTTTCACTCAAAACGAAACTACTCAGCGTGCTGTGCGCACGTGAGACTGTTACTTAAAACTGTGCTTTATGCTGGACAGTATTTATTTATCACGAGTTGTTCAAATCGCGGTAATCTAATACGGTTTTAATGATAATTAAAAGATGAAACGGTAATACTAACCGTGGGGAATTTTATCATGATTTATCGTCAAAACGGTAATCGTTACATCCCTACTGCCATCATTTGTTTTTTTTATCAGTTTGAGGAAATTATTTTATAGAAGCACTTCATGTCCCATTTATTTGACTGATCAGCACTTTTCCAGGTGTACTATTGAGTGATAGATGTTACAGGTGGGTTGCATGGGATGCCTGGAAAAGCAAAGCCATGTAACTTATATCCCAAGATTAAAGGAACGACCTGCATGATATGAGAGTTGTATAATTGCATAGTCATCTGCACATATAAATAGTGTATGGTTGGTCATAGCTTGCACTTTTGTGTTATTTCACACTTAACTGTGAAATTTACGGTAAGAAATGGCAGCTGTGGTTGCCAGAAATGCCACAAATATGGAAGTAACGTTTTAGGTTTTACTGATTGAACTTAAATATGCAGTATATAACAATGTATATTTCATTAACAATGATGCATGATTCACAATTCATGACACAATGTTAAAATACCAGCCTACTGAATTACTAAAATCTGTTTTGTACCTTTATAATAAACTGACAACCATCACAAAACACAGACGATAATGAGAAAGCCACATGTAGAATATAGTAGTTTAGTAAGGGAACTTACCATTAACCAATCAACAGGTTTTTCTGTAGCATTTTACAGTCTTTTACCATTAAAATTATGAAAATATTTAGTAGTGCAGACATTTTCACTTTTGTATGTGTTCAAAACAAGCATTGAAGCATTGCTGTTGAGATTTAGCATAAAGGTAATTGGCAAAAAAACAAAACAAAACAGAAAAAGTGGTTAAAAATGAGACATTTGAACCAAAATCACTTCCATGAGGAAGTGGCATAGTGTGTGTAAGTTAAACAGCTGATCTGATAATGTTATTGTAAGGAGAGTCCACACCCTCCATTGAGGGAAGAGAGATCAGTTTGATGTAGACACTGGGGAAAAGTAGAGCAAGTTTCAGGTTATATTTCTCACAACCACATTTAAGGGCAACCCTCCTCACACCTCTCTCTGTCAATACTCAGTCACTTTAGCTTACAATTAACTTGCACTTCTTTTTTTAAAAAGGTAATATTTTTATTGTTTATATAAGGTAATATATTTACTATTATTATTATATATTTTTTTTAAACCTGAGGTCCATTTGTGATAGCAGTATGTTTTTTTAAAAGTTTTTTTTCATTATAATTTATTCAATTCAGGTTTATTCAATTCAACGTTGCAAAGCAACTTTACAGAAAATTAAGTTTCTACAATATTTAGTAGTAGCTTATCAGTGGTGACTGTCAGTTAATGTACATGCTAAATGTATTTATGCAAAATGTATGCATCAGTAATTATGCAAAAATAATTTCACTGATTTTAAATATACAGAATATATGTTGTTGGCATTTAAATGTGGGTGGTCAAGGATTCATCTGTCTGATGTCTGAAAGTTGTGTAAGTGTGTATAATTAATCCTTTTTGTAGCCTTGGTTCAATAAAACAATCTCTTTTTGGTAGGGATGTAACGATTCACTCAACTCACGATTATACCATCGAAAGACAGCAAGTTCCCCTCAGACATGGATTCATATAAACTCCTACCCCTAATTGAATCGCGATTTGTTTAGCATCTCAACTGATTTGAATCATCACATATTTAAATCGATTTTCAACCGGCTCGCGGTTAATCGTTATATCCCTACTTTTTGGACTTGGCTGTTTTGAGATGAAAATTACAGTATGTTTTCATAGTACAGTGAACTCTTTTATCTCAAATGATTTCTCATGTTAGCATGGACATATTTTAAGATATGTCACATGTGTTGGATATTGGCCTGACCTGTCATGATGCGTCTCTCAGTTACTTTTTTAAATAGCAGAAACATATTTTGTTCTGCAACTGCTCACATTATGCAAAATGCTAGCCTGTTAGAACAGGAACAAATAATATGAACTTGATCTTAAAGAAGCTCCAGCATTCCACGCAATAAAGCCAGCTAATGTTTTCCTGTATGTGGGTCAGATGAGTAACCTAATAACCAAACTGAGTGCCCAGGATAGTAGTCCCTTTCTTCATGCTGATGGAGACTAACCTCCTTAAAGCAATACCCTAGGGAATTTTAGGTATATGATTGAAAATCTTAGTTATATTTTCACTGTTTGAGTCATTTTAAATTTCAGTTCTTTGTGAAGAGCAATACAGCATCGTCCATTGTTCCATGCTCACTAAACAAACTGAATGATAGTGTATTATATGTACTCTCAGTGTGGAACAGGAGCTGTGATGTTTCTGCTTTGTTACATGTTATTGTGTGTTATTTGTCATTCACAGGCAGCCAGACAAACTGCGAGTGGTTTGGACCAGACGAAACAGACGCATCTGCAGCAAGGTAGAAGGAGGATGTGGGCTTTTAGAGTTACTGTTTCCACGTTTATAGTTTTCAAGTGCTATATAAAGATGTGGCTGTGGTTACTGTACCTTGACATTTATTAAACTGGAATAGTAAAGCTAGAGCACAACTGTAAGTGCAGAACAGTACATATTTTTTTTTTCTCGTTTAAGATTACGAGTCAGGACGTGTTGTCTAAATTGAATCTTTACAAATTTTACAGAGGAGGACAATAAATATCAGCATATTAGTGTCATTAGTAACCACGCAGAAAATGTTTGCAAAGCAGAAAGAACAAGTACTTCCTCCTAGCACATAAATCAATTGGTGGCACTGATTGGTGATGCAATAAGAATTTCAACACACAAATACAGTGGGATGATTCATTAATATAGATGAAGCCTAATCCTTTTATACCTTATTATTTTTCATTGTGTAAACATCAGATATGTTTATCTGACTGGGTATCAGCAGCTGTGTTAATAGCAGTATTCTCATTGTCTTGATCAGCTTCATGGCTGGCAGCCAGGTATCAAGAACCCATACAGGGGGACTGTGGTTTGGCAGGTTCCTGAGAGCATGGACATCACTGTCACTCTTTTCAAGGTGAATATATGATATAAAAAGAATTCCATGAACTACCATTTAAAAGTTTGAGTACGATTTTTTTTTTTTAAAGAAATTAATAGTTTTATTCAGCAATGATTTAATGGATTTTGATATTGTAAAAAAAAAAATCACATTGTTACCAAAAATTTCTGTTTCAAATAAATTATGTTCTTTTTAATTTTCTATTGATAAGACAATCCTGAAAAAAATTATCATATTTTTCACTAAAATTTTAAGCAGCACAACTGTTTTCAACATTAGGAACCAAATCAGCATATTAGAATTGTTTCTGAAGGATCATGTGACATTGAAGACTGGGGTAATGATGTTGAAAATTCCGTTTTGCGTCACAGGAATAAATTACATTTGAAGATATATTAATATGGAAAACAGTTATTTTAAATTGTAATAATAGTTCATAATATTACTGTGTTTTTGAAAAAATAAATGCAGCCTTGGCAAACTTATAAAGACTTCTTTCGAAAACATAAAAAATTAAATCATCCCTAAACTGTGGTGTTTAGCAGTGGTGCTTAAATATGAAAATTATAAACTAATAAAAGTTGTAAACATGAATTTTGTCATTATGTTATAGTATAAATATTATTTAAATGCCCTATAATCCATGTCCACATAATCAGCAATATTCACTTTCCCTTTAGGATCCAAATGCAGATGAATTTGAGGACAAAGACTGGACCTTCATCATAGAAAATGTGAGTCTTTCTACTCTGTAATCTCACCCTGTTTATTAAAGGGGCTGCTAGCAATTTTAGCTGTTTGCTAACCTCAACCACAAAAGCATTTCTGTTTTGGTTAAAAAAGTGTGGGCCACTCCCTGTCTCTTTTCCTCTGTTTAATAAACTGAGGGCTGTGACAGAAACGGGTCAGGAGGTTGTAGGAACATTTTATGTGTATTTCTCTTTTGCAATATTTTGTTATCAAAAGACAGCAATTTTGAAAAGCATGTCTTGAATTATGTTGTGATGGCTTCATCGATTTGGCAGTACGCTACGGTTTGAAAGTACTGTGCTCTAACCCCATCTCATCCCAACAGGAAACAAAGGGCCACCGAAAAGCTTTAGCGTCAGTGGATGTGAACATGAAGAAATACGCGAGCGCGACCCCGACCCAGTTTGACCTGGCACTTACACTAAAGCCTCTGTCTGTGAAAGTGTTGGATGCCACACTTAAACTCACCTTGTCCTGTGTCTTCCTGAAGGAGGGCAAAGCTACGTGAGTTCGGATGATTTCAACATTCCACTAGGAAAATGTGTTTCTCTAGATCTGTGTAATGATGTAAAAGCATCAGTCAAAGCAGACGACACATACAGTGTGAACTACATTTTATTAACTTTACTGATCTATAGTTTTAGTAGGCCTTCAATTATCGTACTGTATTCTGTGTTGTGTATTCAGTGATGAAGACATGCAAAGTCTGGCGAGTCTGATGAGTTTGAAGCAGTCTGACATTGGAAACCTGGAGGACTTCAATGACAGCGATGAAGAGGAGGACAAAAGAATGTGTGCAGCAGTGAAAATGGCCACAGCAGTAATAGGTAATACTGACATACACTCACAGTCTTAAGTAAACATACTATAAACCTTGACGCTGAAACCAGATGTTTGGAAACAAGTTTAGAAACAGGCATTTCCTGTTCTGAAAAGGATATTTGCAGTTTTTTTTTTTTTTTTCTGGCGTTGTGTTGTTTCCTGGTTTTATGAAACTTGGTGGAGATGTAGATAACCTGTTGGTTGTTTGCTGATTTTAGTGGTTTGGTTGTATTGAGTTGATTTAATGTTTGCCAGTTAATGCTGTATTACAGCTGTAAAGGTAGCTTACATGCGGTTGGCCACGACAAACACAGAATCTGGAAATATTATCTCTCTTTCACATTGTAGAATTCTTTTTTTTGTTATTCTTTTCTCAAACAGTCTCTTTCTTTTTCATTCTTTGTCTGTCGCTCTGTTCTTTCTGTCTGTGGTCAGCTCCTCTTCCTCCAGCTAGGAGAATACATGACAAGGCTTGGAGACCTGCTGTAGACACAGGTCCCTCTGACACAGGTAGATTACTGACTGCTCTGGCTTATTTTTCCACTCTCTTTCTTCCCTTTACACTGGAATTAACATTTTGTTTTTTTGGTATGATAATATTCAAATGAAGTACTATGGGGTGTTACAGTTTTCTACTGCTCAATTTGTATCATGACTGTTTCAGGTTGGTAAATACTTGCATCACAACTGGGCAGCACTGATTAAGAAATCTGAAGCTTGATAGTGCTAACTGAAAATTTGACACTGTGATTGGCTGATATTTATTCATTTGCATTGGTTTGTTTTTCAATGAGCCCCTTTATTAAGTCTTATGCTATAGCAAAATGCACCAATGTATAAATAATGCACTTGGACAATTTAGTTCAGTAACATTTAATGTGTATGATTATATTAATTTATCTATTATTGTATATTCTAAATTTACATATACATATATATGTATATGCATTAAGATTTTTCTTTGCATTCTTCTTTATATACATTATTAAATTATTTATATAGAATTTATATAAAAACAAACAAGCACACACATGTATAAACACAAACATAAAATTTGTACAAAATACCATAAAATAATATAAATATTAAATATAAAAAAAAAGAAATGTATAAAATAATACAATAAATATTTAAATTTATACACGCACATACAAATATACATATTTATTGTGTTTTTTTATATATATTTCTTATTGTGTATATTTTATATTTATATTATTTTATACATGAACCATGGGTATTTTTGTACAGATTTGATGTTTGTACTGGCACCATTTCACCCCTATAAATATTATTATTATTGTTATTATACACTCAAGTGTAAATTACTTTAGTTGTGCAAATTGAACATAATGTTACTACTTAAACTTGTGGAAACATCTAAAAGTCAAAACCAGAAATGTAGTAGTAGAGATCATGAATATCACAAAAACAATTTCAAACCGAATATATAATTGTTTCATGTCGTATCAGATATTAGAAATAAGGTTATCAGAAGTAATGCACTTTCTAACTCGTGTTGCTACACTATATTTGGATAGACTGATTTCTTTAGCCAGTTTTGAATCTGTAAGAAAGTGGGTGAAATTGCATAATGCATTCCCATGACCTCAGCATACCAGTGGTCATAAGTTTGTGTGTGTGAGAGTTTATCTGAGATCTGCATCTCTTCCTGGTGTCACTCATTTTCTTCTCTTCTGAATTATTCCCTGCTCATTTGAGTTCCTCTTTGTCTCTCTGCATTTGTTGTCTGCTACCTCTCAACTCTTAACTTCCTCTGTTTTTGTCTGTCCTTCTCCATAATCATCATCATTTCTCTCAGCTCATTCTGAACCAGAGCGGATGAGCTGTTCCTTCATTACGCCTAATGTTCCTCTCCAGTACCGCCCCCTGTCATACAGCGCTCTTGACCCTTCTGCCCCACCCCTCTCCACTTCCTATATCCAACCCCCCCGTGCTGCCGGCAGTGTCCCGCAGACACGCCCCTCCCCGTACGCCTTCACTGTACCTGCATTTACACGTGCGCATCCACCTGCCCTGCCCAAAATCTTCCAGCCGCCGACCGGCTCAGGTACAAACACTCATCCACCCGGTGCAATGCAGCAGATCACCACTGATTTGTGCTGGTCTCCATCCGCTGCACTGTGTACATGTCCATACCTCATAGATCATCCACAAACTCACTCTTCTGTGGTATTACTTACAGTACATGTTTTTGTCATTTATGTTTTTAATAAGTTTTGGTGTGTTTTAAAGGTGTCTAAAAGTTAAAACAACAATAAATTCATGCACTACTAAAAAGTTTTTTTTTTTTTGAAAGAAGACTTTATTATGGAACATTATTATAATTTCAAATAACTGATAACTGTTTTCTGTTTTAAAATGTAATTTATTCCAATGCTGAATTTTCAGCAGCCATTACTCCAGTCTTCAGTATCACGATATTTCAGAAATGATTCTAATATGCTGATTTGCTGCTTATGAAACATTTTATTTTATATTATATTTCATATTATTCTAAATTTAAGGATTTAGGCTTATTTGATGAATAGAAAGCTTAAAAGAACTGCATTTTTAAAAAATATATATATTTTTTAACATTATAAATGTATCTACTTTTGATTAAAAAAAATTTATATTATAATTATAATAATAAGAAAAGTTGTATGAGCACCAAATCAGCATATTAGAATGATTTCTGAAATATCATGTCACTTTTTATCAATATAATGCCCTTGCTAAATAAAATTATTCATTAAAAAAAAAAAAACTTTTGAACATCAGTGCATCTCATATGTCTTGCAATTGCAACTACTTCACATTTTGACTATTTTAAACTGAATTTGTTATATTCATGCTGCATCTGCATGCTGAATATCTGCGTGAAATTCTGAGACAGCTATTTTTAAATAATGTAGTTTAAGAGATCAAATCAAGAAATTAATTAGAAACTATTGTTTCTGGCAACAAGGTCTGCAGAGGTATTGTGTGGAACATTTTTATAATTATATTTTTTTTCTTTTGAGCATACTTCATTTCTAGATTCATTAAAAGGAATCTCAATTGACGTTTGGAAAACTGCCCATTAAAAACAACAGATGAATTTTAAGGCTGATGTTTAAGGAAGCAACAGCCTGATCCCTATAGTGTAGCACCCTGTGAATTTGTTCATCAAACTAGCTATATATCCAGCCCCTGACTTTTACCATTCTTGCCCTGTCACAACTTGATCTAATGAACCTTATTTACCTCAATCTAATGAGTGTTTTGCCTCCTTTTAAACACACACATCAACAGATATACAAAAAGCTTAAGCAAAAATTACTTTCTATTTTCTGTTCTTTTTACCCCTCCACCTCTCATCATGCTATATTTTTTCCTTCTCCCTTTAAGTTGCTGTATCTGTCACTCAAAGGCCATCTGGAGGTCTTGCTAGGTCTGAGTTATTGGAGAGTAGTCGCTCTGCTGAGGGTGGTGCAGTTCCTCACCAGAGGCCTCTCTCTTTTCTTCCTGGGATTAGCACACCCTTCTCTCTATCCTCTGCTCAATCCTCCTCGTCCCCTCAGCAGACTCCTCTACCTGATATAACCCAGAAAGGTAATGAGTATTGCCCGTAAATCAGTAAAAGATAGTTGCTATAGCTCCTAAATAATTGTATTGTAGCTTGCATTATCTGTGTAATGTATTTTTGCTTATTTGATATTTGCACATTTTTCATTTTTACCTTTACTGTTGCTGCTTCACCTTGCTTCCATTCTGTCGTCTTTTCTATTCTTCTCTTTTCTGTCTCACTGTTTTCTCCCCCGACTTAGCCATCCATTCTGCTGCTCGTAGCAGGACCTGGAGACCTCACAGTTTTCCCTCTTCACACTCCTCCCCTTGTGATTTCGACCCCTACTCCTTTGAGTTTGGCTCCTCCCCTCATGGTCCAATGCCTGTACCTGCACCACGGCCCTCAAAAATCTATCGCGCCTCATTGGCTGAGCCAGGCTCCGCCCTTACAAAACCTACGAGCATGCCCTCTGCCACTGAGACAGGTACATGGGGCTGATGTTCATATTTTAACTAATTTTTAAATCTGATGCCATTTGATTTTAAAGTTTAATTTGAACCACATATTTCATGTTCAGTACCCAGCTTTCTGAAAATGATTTGGAGGTCATAAAGAGTTGTAAAGTCACTGTGAAAGACCCTATGAAAGAGTTTTATAGCTTTTAGTCCATGTTTGTTAGCTTTGAGTCTATTTATATACTTGTGTACTCATAAAAGTTGACCAAGTTTTTCCAGATAAAAGTTTGGCATTGGTAAGATTTGTTTGTTTTTTAAAAGTCTACTAAGGCTGCATTTACTCATTACTCCAGTCTTCAGTGTCACATGATCCTTCAGAAATCATTCTAATACACTGATTTGCTGCTCAAGAAGCATTCTTATTATTATCAATGTTGAAAACCATTGTGCTGCTTAATATGTTTGTGGACATCGGGATACTTTTTTCAGGATTCTTTTATGAATAAAAAGCTCAAAACAACAGTAATCTGTGTGTTATAGAAAGATGAACCAAAACATAGGTGACTCTCTAGAATGTCAATATCCCCTACCCTAAATTAGAAATACCACCTTCCTCCAATTAACAATAGCAAGTAGCAAATGGCTGTGGCATAAACTTTTAATTTTTAAATTTTTTTACATTGTTATTATTATTTGCAAATCTATGCTAATCATACATTTGTCTTTTTTCTTTTTTTTTTCTTCCCCCTGTAACACTGTCTACTTATTATACATGCACTCTGTCATCATTTGCCATGGTAAACTCCAGCATCTTGGCAAAAAGAGTGGAGGCCTCCCAAGCTGCACCCTACTCTGTGTCCTGCTCCCCTCACCTCTGCGGAGCATATTAACCAACAGCATCATCCAGCCTCAGTGACCTCCTCTCCTCCTGCACAAACCTCTCCTCTAATGTATGTCCCCCTTCCTGCAATGTCTTCATCCCGTGTGCTTCCTCAACCAATGGACACCTCTACCATTACTCTCAATCCTGCTGTAACATCTCCCAGTGTGGCTCCTTCCTCTGAGATGCCCAGCGTTCAGTCAGTCTCTACTTCTTGCTCTCAAACCCTGTCAGCTGCCATCCGTTCTCCTGCTGCAGCATCACTGGTTTCTCCCTCCATTGCTCCTGCTGCTTCATTTAGTTCTCAGTCCATCCCTTATCCATGTGTTTCTACTCTCCTGTCATCTCCTCATCTCACTGTTTCTGATGCTCCTCTAAGTTCCATTCCTGATGTTAGTCCTGTGGTCAATGCATCTGTTGTTGCCGAGTCAGGTAGAGAACAAACACTCTAGGATAACTCTTCTAAACCTGTTTGCCCATGTGTTAAACTAATGAAATTAGAAAAGAAATGAGTTTTCATCTGTTGAGTTTAAGATGAAAAATCATCTGCATTGTCAAAGGGTTTTGGATGCCATTTCAGTGGAGCATGAATACTGTGAAAGTTCTAATCCTCGTTGTCTGAATCAACCATGTCTCATTTCTTTTAAAGGCATGGTTCATCCAAAAATGAAAATTGTAATTATTTACTCACCCTCATGATGTTTCAAACCTTTTGGCTTTTGAAAAGACCCTTTGGAAGTAAAATAAGGGTGAATGTCCTTAAATTCTAACTTTGTAACATCAACTTATTGAACTTAATTGAAGCGACACTGAACTGAGTTGAGCTGAATAATGAGACTATTGTCTTCTGTACAGCTTTACAGCTAAAATTTAATTCATTTTATAATTTTACAAGATGAACATTCTTATTTTCCTGTTAATTACGGTGAAGCTACTTTGAAATCTGTATTGTATAAAGCACTAAATAAATTAAATACATAAAATTAAATACATTTTAAATTAATAGTTCACCCAAAAAATTTGTTGAATATTTTCTCACCCTCAGGCCATCCAAGATGTAGATGAGTTTGTTTCTTCATCGGAACAGATTTGGGGACATTTATCATTACGTCACTTGCTCACCATCTTCAATACCATGCCTGAGGTGAGAACCTTGAGCAAGGCACCGAACCCCCAACTGCTCCCCAGGTGCCGCAGCATTGGCTGCCCACTGTGTGTTCACGGTGTGCGTGTTCGTGTTTGTTCACTACTCACAGCTGTGTGTGTGCACTTGGATGGGTTAAATGCAGAGCACAAATTCCAAGTATGGGACACCATATTTGACCCCACACTTCACGTCCTCACCAGTGGATCCTCTGCAGTGAATGGGTGCCGTCAGAATGAGAGTCCAAACAGCTGATTAAAACATCACAATAATAAGCAATCCACATGACTCCAGTCCATCAGTTATCGTCTTGTTAAGCAAAAATCTTTGTGTTTGCAAGAAACAAATCCATCATTAAGATGATTCTAACTTCAAACTGTTGTTTACGGCTAAAATGAGAGTCCTCTATCCATAATATTGATTCAGGAGAGCAAAATGGATCCTCTGCAGTGAATGGGTGCCGTCAGAATGAGAGTCCAAACAGCTGATTAAAACATCACAATAATAAGCAATCCACATGACTCCAGTCCATCAGTTATCGTCTTGTTAAGCAAAAATCTTTGTGTTTGCAAGAAACAAATCCATCATTAAGATGATTCTAACTTCAAACTGTTGTTTACGGCTAAAATGAGAGTCCTCTATCCATAATATTGATTCAGGAGAGAAATATGCACAGATCAAGTACCGTTTACAAGTGAAAGCAGTTCCAAACAAATATGTGGGTGGATTTTGATGTGAGAGGACAACAGTGGATGCACTTTTTCACTTGAGAAAGTGTTTTTATGCATTATGGACATTCTGGTATTTTAGCCAGAAACAATGGTTTAAAGTTAAAATGTCTTAAATATATGGATTTGTTTCTTACAAGCATGCAGCTTTTTGCTTCACAAGATGTTAATTGATGGACTGGAGTCGTGTGGATTACTTGTGGATTATTGTGATGTTTTTATCAGCTGTTTGGACTCTCATTCTGACGGCACCCATTCACTCCTAGAATCCTTTGGTGAGCAAGACACGTAATGCTAAATTTCACCAAATCTGTTCTGATGAAGAAACAAACTCATCTACATCTTGGATGCCCAGAGGGTGAGTACATTTTGAGCATTTTTTTTTAGGTGAACTATTCCTTTAAGCTGTGAACATATTTTGAATGGAAAAATTTCACATGCAATTTTATTATAAAAAAATTCAGCAATCAGTATTCACACGTTAATTTCCAAAATATTATACAAAAAAGCGTCCTATAATTTTCGACAGACAATTTTCAGTAATTTTATTTTACTTTACGAATTCACTTCCATATTTGTAAATTCAGTGGATACGTTGCATATCCGGTAACTGTAGGAATAGCAGCAATGCATAATCTCCATCTGCTGTTAGTTCGCTTCACCAGTAGGTTTTGTTTTAAAGACGTGTCATTATTTTACTTCCATATGAGCCTGAATAAAAGTAAAAGAATTGCCATTTTTGGGTGAACCTAAACCCTTTGCACTCATCTCCTCATCCTTCATTCTTCTTTTGTAATCATTCTCTCCTTTTTCTGTCATCTTCCTTTGTCATCTGGTCAATGTCAACCTCAGAGCCTCTCCCAGAGGTCCAGACGTATGAATGGAGACATCAGGTTGTGCCCACAGTGGTTAGACCTAATGTGCGCAGGCCAATAGCCCCTCTTCCTGTAGATGCCCCTACCTCTCCTTTCTCTTCCTCTCCTTTTATTCTTTCTTCACCCTCTTCCATGATCCCTGACCCCCACATTTATACCCAAACTTCCACTGTAGCCCCTGTTATTGCCTCCATTTCAGTCCCTTCCACTGACTCACTCACAGGTACATATGCTGGCCTGAACCTTTATCTGTGCTTCATTCTCATTCTCTGTGTGTGTTGGTACTGTCATTGCTGTACATATGTGTGTTGTATGTTGAGTAGATAACAGAGAACAGATTTTAAACATGTCTTGAGCTAGTGAGATCTGTTTTAGATTACACTCCAACATTTTTTGCATAACAGTACAAAGTCAGAAGGCCAAACATTCCATTCTTCCCAGCGGATTGACTTCATCCATCATAACTATATAACAGTTTAAACTGTCAGTATTTCTGACTCACTGTTACAGTGTTTTTTGAAACATTAAAGGGGTCATATGATGCGATTTACATTTTTCCTTTCTCTTTGGAGTGTTACAAGCTCTTGGTGCATAAAGAAGATCTGTAAAGTTGCAAAGACTAAAGTCTCAAATCCAAAGAGATATTCTTTATAAAAGTTAAGAGTCAACCA